GTAGGCATGTATGCATGTATGCATGATTGCATATGTGTGTATGCACACACAAATTTACACAAATACTTGCTTCATCCCGACCCCCAAAAAAGAGGTCATCGATGGGATTGTGCAGTGTGCTCTGTTGCACTGCCAGCGGCCGTGAGAATGCCTGGCGGCAGCCCGCGAAAATTATCGCAGCTCCGCATGGTCAAAGGACCAGCAGTTTGGGTTGCCTGCTTTGTGCGCCAGGGACTTGCGCACCAGTATCACAGCATTTTCCAAGAATTTCCAACAGCGATGTCGCCTGCAGCGGACTTGTGAGAGCTCATTTGTTTGAAGCTTACGCGCAGTAGAGCAGATCACAACTCCCAATGAGCTCTCACAAACCTTGTGAATTGCTTGCCTCACACAGTGGCAGGGCAAGGAATATAGGGTTCGAAACGATATGATGATGCTGTCTTTGTCATGGTATGCGAACACCCTCAAGCTCGATGGCAGATCTTTGCTCGCACACGTCGTTTTGATATCCGAGCTGATTTGGACCCCTATAGCAGCCGAAGCGGGAAAGTCTTAGACCCGAAGCATTTCGCGGAGCCGCTGCTGGCCGAGTGGCCCGGCGGCAAGGCAGCTTTGGGTCAGTCTGCAGCGAAATGTACTGGTGGTTTGTGCCCTGACAGAGCAAGGAGAAGGAAGCTTACTGGTTATTGCCACAGTCACACAGCTGTCGTTTAGGGTCGTGCTAGTCTCATAGCCAAGATTGTGGGGTGATGTGCACATAACTCTCAAGACTTCCCTCGCTGTTGTGCCTAGTGCTCCGGGAGTTTATCAAAATAATGGCCCCTTTCGGGGTTCCGTATAGCATGGACTCCCCAATGTGAGCGGACCTTCATTTTGATGTTGAGTTGCTCGTTTTTGCCAAGCCCTCCGGGGCGATGCTTCAGCGGAGGGGAAAAATCATACATACATGCATACATACAGACAGACAGACAGACATACATACATACACACATACAGACACACGCACGCACACACACACACACAGATGGGCTCTTGTAAATAGATAGGCCGTTTCTCTCCTTGTATCTTTGCAGGCTGCATGGATGGATGCGTGGATGCATGGATGCATGTGCGCATGTATGTACTGTATGTATGCACGGACCCGGATCGTAGAGAGGAGAAAACGGAGAGAACGCCAAGAGCTTGTCACCGGTGGCCGGCAGAGGCGCTAGACTCGCGAAAAATATAATATACTATAATATGCTATAATATACTATAATATACTATAACATACTATAACATACTATAATATACTATAACATACTATAATATACTATAATATACTATAATAGACATGCAACAAGAGTGTGTCGAATGTCACTGCTACATGAGCTCTGTGATTTTGCCTGGAAGTGCAATCAGACATGCATCCAGGCTGTTGGCGACGAATACTAGCAATACTCGTCGCATGAGTCGCGCTATCAATCTCAAACTCCGATAATATTTTTGTGGTGATGTTGACCCCAGTCGGCTTCCATTCTTGGAAGTTCCCACAGACGGATGTTTTCACTGCCCGCCGCCACGTTCCAGCTGTCATTTGTCCACTCGATGGGCGCACAACCTTTCAATGGCATCTCAACCCACATGTCACATGTCGACGTAAAGTGCCGGATCCCTCATGCCAAAATCGTGCCAGCAAGCATAGTCCTCCAGCCCACAGCTTATTCATGAGTCAGGATCGAGGGCTTGTTTGGAACACATTGGCGATAGGTCATCTTGAGGAGTTGGCATTGGCAGGCCACTCTATATATGCAAACACCACAACCACGAGGCCTAGGCAGAAAGCCCGTTGAACCCAACGAGACTTTCAAAGAGCCCTCAACAGCAGCCCAGAACCCCTCAACGAACCCTCAGTTTCAAACCTTTTAAAACCCCTAAACCTTGAACCCTGAAGCCTCTGTTTCCTCAGAAAAGGGCCCCGAGACCCTGAACCTTTATCGCCCTCGGCCAATGCAGTGAGCCGCGCCCGTGAATTGGGCAAGGTCGCTCCGGAGTGGGGATTGGGTGATTCGAGTGATGAGGGTATGGGGCTCAGGGTTCCAGGCAGGGGCTGATAAGGATTCACCCCTCGCACCTCCCAGGTCCAAGCTTGCACTCGACTCTCGCAAAGCCTTCTCAGGACTTCCTCAGAGTCTTTGCAGGCTCCTAAACCCTAAACCCTAAACCGCTCTCGTCTAGACTTCAGCCGCATGCGGTCTGTGGAGGCCCTGCGGCAGGGCTCCCATGAAGATCGCCATTGACTGGGACCTCCCTCGTGGTTCGGTCGCAAGTATCTCTCCCTCTCTCTTTCTCGCTATATATATATATATGTTTCTTAATTTTTCGGTATGGTGGGTAGGAACTCAGAGTTCAGTTTACAGATCGTAAGAACATTCGTGATCACTTTATCCGTGGCCATTTGCCGATCGGCCCGGATTTTCGATCGTCGGCATGGGAACAGACTATATAGATTCTAGATCCTACCGGCCATGTCGTTCCGTTCTACACTCCGGGGCTCAGCCGCCAGATCAACAGACGGCTCCCCCTGCGTATGGGGACTGGGGAAGCGGATGGAACTGCGACGATCGTCGCCGGAGAGGCTATCGAGTAGCTCCGGCTGCCCACAACCTCTTCGCGGTCCAGAAGCCGTACTTCGTGGAGCAGGTCGTGGTCGAGGAGGCAGATCCCAATCGCAAGTCCCTGCTCGTGATCGACAACAGTCTCGCTGATCAGCTCATCGAAGCTTCTGATCAGAAACTATGCCGAGTGCCCGATGCTCATCTCCGGCTTTTGCTACCTGGAGCACAACATGACGAGCCTCTTCCACATGGAGCTTTGGCGCGAATTTTTGGGCGCGGCCAAGTGCATGCCGATCGTGGGCGATATCGCCTCGTCGCACCGATGGGCTCCAGATCGCAAGCCTCATTGGACTCTATCGGAGTCGATGAATAGCGTTCTCGGGCCTGGGAGTTTCGAGAGAAAGTTCTGAGGGCCGTTCGTGCCTCGCCGGCGGAGCATTCCCCTAGTCTGGGAATCTACTATGAAAGATGTTCAGGAGGGGGCCGCGATCGGGCCTTTCTTTGACATAGACGACGTCTCCAAGCTCCCGTGGGCGATGGCGGCGATGACCATTGGATCCCTACACTACGCTTCGAATTCGTCCAGAAGAACAAGGTCAGAGGAGTGGACCGTCCCATGCACCTCGAATGGGATCAACATGGCTACCGTGATAACGCAAAAGCTTGAGATCCCCTCCACGGATGCCAACGTGGCGGCAATCAAGTGGCTGCGATCGCAGTTACCAGACCAGCCCCTACGAGGTTGGGTCTTGGATGAGAGGCGAGCCTATCGGCAGATCCAAATCCCGATATCGCCGTCCCATCGGAAGTGGCATGTGGTCATTTGTGATGGTGGGCTACTCGTTCGGGCTTGCGTCTGCGGTCTACAACTACAACGGCCGCTCGGCGGCCATCACCGACATCCTTCGGCGGGTGTTCACCGTTGCTAACTTCTATGACGACGGGTACGGCTTCGAGCCTTCCGGCACGGCCGAAGGAGCGTTCGCTCTGGTCGAGCAGGTCCATTGGTGGTTGGGTTCTCGGTTCGACCAACAGAAACTTCAGCTGTGCTCTGACCCTACGATTTTGGGGGTCACCTACAATCTGGACCAGTACCTGCTCAAGATCAAGAAATCGCGCAGCAGGAGCTCTTCGACGACATTTCCTTGATACTGGAGCGCGACGAGCCGCGCGGTTTGCTCGGTGGGGTGCGGGGCCTTGCGCTCAAGGAGGCTAAGAGCTCGATGCTCGCCGTGCAGCTAAGCCAATGGCCGATCCCGTCCCTGTCGGTTCGCCTCGACTGCTCGTGCCTGATAACGCCGCGCTCAAGGTCAAACACACTGTGACATCTTCGGGCCTTCGGCCTAAGTCCGAGGCCAAGCCGGCTGCCGATCCTCAGCCCTCGTCTGTTCCGAGTGTGGAGAGTGCAGATCCCGCTCCGTTCGGCGCGCCGCCGCCCAAGCCAAAGGCTTGCGCAGCCCTTCGGCGTGATGCCGTTCTTGAAGAGCCGATCGAGGTTGATCCGGATTCGGCTCGGGATCCGATCGAGGACTTTTAGATCCTCGCCGTTTCTTTTCTGTTCGCGGGGAATATCTCGTCTGATATGTTCGTTCGGATGAATGTGGAGCGATCGCCAGCTATCTGGTGCGCGCCTCCGGTGATCTCCGAAAGGAATGATGAAGATCTGAGATGTTCGAGTTTTGATCTGTGGCTGACTCCCACTTTGCGGTCGCACAAATCAGCGAGTTCTCGAGCCGTGAAGATCTAGTAAACTGCTATCTATATATCAATGTATATGTATATGTATCTATATGTATGTATTTGGAAAATCATATATATATATATGTATATGTGTAGGTGTAGATATAGATATTTGTAAAGCTACATGTTGAAGTGGGTTCAAGCGGAGGATCTTGTTTTTGGGCGGTTGGAAGCTTTGCGGCCTGACCTGAGGTAGCCAGCATGGCAAGGCTGGAAGCCTGGAGCCCAGCCAGGAAGAAGGGAAGCCCACAAAAATTCGACGCTGCAAACCCGCCTCACGCATGTAGGAGTACAATAGCCTTGAGAATTAAAGTTGGGCCTTGAATGGGTGTTGGGGGGTTACGTTTCGTACTGTTGGGGTTTTAAATTCGTTTCAAGATTACCAGAATTTTGTGTTTCTGTGGCGGGTGGCCTCTGCCGGGTCCCGGGGCGTCTTGTGCTGTTTACCGGGTTCTTGTTGAAAATGATGCCCGCTTTTTCGTGTTGTGGGTGTGGCGGCTGTCCCCCGTTGTCCTTTCCATGCTGGGCTTTCCATGCTTGTCTCCCCTTTGCGCCTGCCTTCTATTTGCGAGGGAGGATCACACAGCTCGAAATGCGAAAAGGAGGTCATAATTTTTGGGAAAGACGAGCAAACCGCTTGAACGAGACAAGGGTTTTGGAAAAGGAGAAGTCGGTAACGAGGAGTCGAAGCCGCTCGATAAGAATTTGCTTGAGAGGAAAGACTGGAGAAAGAGGAGCAAACCCGTCGAAACGGAGCAGAATCAGATGTGCAAACCATTGGAAAAAGAGCACAGTAAGGGGCTTAGTTCTAGGAGAAGGACCAAGCCAATTGATGAAAGGGGTCAACCAAAAGAATTCAGCGCAAGGAGCGAACCGTTCGAAAGAGTCTGGACAATCTGCTTGCCGACGTTTCGCGCTGTTGGTGGGTGGCCCATGACGGTGCCTTATCGCTTCTTGTCTCCCTCAGTTTGCTGTAAGGGTCCTTGTAATTCCCCAACCCTTTGCTTTAAAAAACTTAAACTTTAGAGTCAGTAGAGGTTCTTGTCGGCATGGTCAAAACCAGATATTGCTCTGATTGGGCTTCAACTGTTTGGGCTCTTCGGTGGTGTAATACAGTGTACTTTTATGAACAGGGACTGTCAGGGGATGCTATTACTGATTATTCCGACCCCTGTAGCAGTGGCCTCAGCATGTCAGCCCCAGGCTACTACCCTCCACTTCGTTTTCCTCGATTGGGCGAGGATTTGAGCACAGTCCCCAGCATATCTCAGCATGTTTGTGGTTTAGCATGCCGTTGTAGAGTGTGGACATAGTGGTATTTGCAACTACAATTGCCAAGAATAGTTGCAACGAGGTTGGCAAGGAACCTGATGTGACCCGTGGGGTAAGCATAGTAGCAACACCGTCGAAAGCAACAGTAGCAGCTAGCACGGCAATTAGGGAATGACAGCGTTGCTTGCGGGGCAGGTGTGGTCGACTATTGCTTGACAGGCACAGGATGAGTTGACCCGTAGTTTCACGATGCACAGAACTGCTTGGGTCGAGTCCAACTGGGAGCGCAACTAGCAAAGTGCTTTGGGTGCATGAAATCATGGTGGTGATGCTGGTGAACCAACAGTTGACTTACAGCGGTTGTGAAGTGTTGCCTCCGCGGGTGTCTGTGTGTGTGATGTCCTCCTCCTCCACTGCTCCTCCCCCGCGTCCTCCTGCTCCTCCTCCTTCCCTGCCACTGCTCCTACCATTACTACTACTACTACT